TACTATATTGAAAATCGTATTGCTGCTTCTCCTATGTGGTTGGTCATATCAGTTTCAGATTTTTATTGCAAGACTTCTAAAGATGTATAGTTAGTCCTGAATAAAATGGTCCAATATTGTCTGCCACGGTAGCATTGTACTGACATGGGATATTCACCAAAACATTGTAATGTCCAGCTGATTTTGAGTGAACATTGTGCTGATCTATCATCCAATATGGCTTCCACACAGATGCCATTTTGAAAATCACGGTATGTCTTCCCCGTTGAATGGTTGTATCAACACTAGGTTTTCACTAAAAGACTTCATATGATGTCTACTTGGAGTTTGGTGAAAATAATGCCAACCTGCCTCCGATATGGCTTCCATAGGAGCCATCTTCAATTTTATTTTGTTTTGATCACTATTCCTCATGAACGAAAATTTATTTTGAGATCAAGTTTTCTAGTTTGTCATAAATGAAAATGGCTGTGGTCTCGGATCTAATATACCTACTGCAGAATACAGATTGAAAATGATGATGTGAGTACTTTCCCTGAGTGAATGTTCATATTGCGTGGTCTTTTAACTTCAAGACGTCTTACTTTGTTTTGTTGATCCTCGATTTAAATGATGCTTATATGAAGTCCAACATATGATGATCTTAAAACTATTTTTCGCTACTCCTCTTCAAGGGAAATTTATTTTTATTTTAACAGGGTTTCAGTATTCTTCAGGTATATACATGGTCCTAAATGCAAATAGTTATCTCTACTCCTCCAAAACGGTCGACTCAGTGTACATGGGGGTTTCACCAGCAGACTTCTTGTGATACCTAGTTGGTCATAAATGGAAATAGTACCAGTCGTACAGCAAATATGGCTGCTGTGACAGTTGTCCTGAAAATCCTCCTGATACCACTCCCTCGCAATGGATTAAGACAAGGGCTTTTCAGCTGTAGACTTTTATTTACGCCTACTTTGCCCAAAATAAAAGTGGAGCAAATCGGACATTCAATACGTCAGTCGATAGTTTTTTTTGTTGACAAATGTATTATTGCTGAAGAATAGGAGAGCTGGTTTGAACATTCAGCAGTTAAAAAGAAGAAATGGTCTTCTCTTGCTTCAACGTAAATTCTTTCCGCCTGCTAGAGCGTAAATTCCTCTGAGGGGTTCTTGTATTTGGGAAATGGGGTCGCTTTATGAATTTGCTTCAGGCCTTTTACCTTCTTGATCTAATTTTGTTGTTAGCACTACACCTCCTGATTTGATGGTCAGCAAAAGACTTTCTATGATATTGAATTTGAATTAAGTGTTACTGATCTGATATCTAATATGGCTTCCATTTCAGCCATCGCGAAAATTCTTCCTATTGCTAACCTGTCTGTCTGGTCATAACGATATGCGGTTTCCAAGTGTGTAGATGATCTTTATAAATGTTAGGAAACTTAATTTCAATATGGCCGCTACAACGAAGATCTTGAAAATCTTAGAGCTGCTCATATGTAGGTTGTGTGTGTGCGATTCTGCATTTTATTACTTTTAGAAAGTTACCCTTAGTTGGCACTTTTATAGCTACTATTGTACTTTGTAGTTAAAGAGTGAAAACAGTCTTATTATGGATTCCTGGAAACTATATTTGGTCAAGTAGAGCGTCAATCTCCTTAAGGGACTTTCGTTGTTTTTCTTATGACCGTTTTCTAACAAGGCTAGAACATTATTTCGTATCTTTTGAAGTCATTAATTCATTCATCTTTCCTTCCTTTCTTTCACCAGTAATATTTTATGTGGTAGAAATGTACTAATATCAGAATTCATTTCTTCCATGGTTTAGTATAACATCAGACTTGCATTAACAAGATCCTTTAGTATTTAAAAGCTAAGAAATGATAAGCCCATATAAACTTTCATCACAATTTTATATTGAAACATTTAATTTGTTCATAATTAGCAAAATTATAACAATTAAATAGAAAAACAATGGGGTTACTCAGATTCTATGCATCCCTGATTCAGAGATTGGTTGCTATGGAGACGGGATTGATGGGAAGGTTGTTGAGAATTTCAAGTAAAACTTTCTTGCAGATACTTATGATACATCGGTAAAGCATCATAAACACTACAAGCATAAACTAACTATATTAACCTGTATACAGTTCCACTCGAATATCTACATTTTCAACTTTAAATGTCAATGAATAGTGTGACGAAGCATATGGGTGGGAATAGGCGTGCTCCCAATATTTTATTTAAGTATTTATAGAAGTCACACCCAAGTTTTTTTTTGTTGGAAGTTATATTTAGTGAAAGATAGATGTAAAGCTCCGAGCTCCCCAATCAGCACTACCGACGATTAGATGGTTAAACATGCAAAAAGGTTGAAATTCAATGAATAACAATTTTGAAACGATTCATTAATCAGATGACTAAAATTTCCAATTAAACTCCTTCTACTCGATCCTTTAATAAGCCTATTGCATCACTTGCTAGCAGTGTGAAACTGTTTTCTATCTGTCCTTGTTTTTTTTTTCTACTCATCTGTCGTATTTTTTCTCTCTTATTTCTCCCAATTTCTTCGTTACTTCCTCTCTGACCTCTCTCCAAATTAATTTTCTTCCTCCTCGAGTTCTCTAGACTCCTTCTCCTCCTCCTCCTCCTCCTCCTCCACTTTCTCTACTACGACTTCTCTTCAGTCGACTTCGAATGGATAGTATACAGCCTCAATTCCGTCTCTAACTCTTGAAGACTTTGGACCCGATGAAACCGGAAGTTCTTTATCCCCTAAAACGCTTCCTGTGAAAATACAAGGACGGTACAATCTTGTTCCTTAGCCCTCTCATCTCACACTACACACAGCCTATCATCAGACACCGGCTGTTAAATTTATCGATCACGCTTTCGTTTACATTGAGATCCCCATGCATTTTTTTTTATGGTAAAAAACGTCGTACAGCACGGTAACAATACTTCTATTAATACATCAATATATTCCGCCACATCAGCAAACATTCCTACTCCCGTTATACTAAACAATATCACAATGATCAGACGCATTTCTTTACCTTGCAATATATACAAAGAACGCAAATATGCAAATATCCATGCTCTGATATACGCATACGACCATAGTAACTAATTTTACTTACTTCAACTATGTTTCCAAATTCACAATTCAAGCATGTGTATATTCTAACATAACGCATTAATAAATACAGTGGTTTACTACGAAATAACCTAATAGCGTATTACCAAATTAATTCTGACCACAAGCAAACAATCTACATAAGTCCGGCTCGCGTCTTGTAATTCTCTACGTAGGCTCTATGCAACTTCTCAAATACGCATGTAAATGAAACACTACACAGCTAATTCTACATACTAAAAGATCATAGTGATAAAGTATACAAACTACAGATAATTACATTTATGATGCTGTAATTTTCTGATAAAAATCTAGCAAATAACTCATTGATCTTTTCGAAGCTTTTTCTTTTCTTAGAAACTACCTCTAAGCTTTGTTGCCAAAATTACGAGTAGCTTCTTTTTTTTCAGAGTAAACCCTATTGATCTGCGATCCTTCCACGCGAGTACAAAATTTTCTCTTACGATTTCGGAAAGTTACCATTCGGGTATTAATTGTAATCAGACCTTCAATCTCAATTCCGATTGGATATGGCTTTCTGTCAGCTAGGAGACGGATACGATTCCATGCCGTGGACTTTTTTGATCTTTGAACCAACCTTTAACACATAGGTGTGATAACCGCAAGCCGTTGTTAAGTGTTGAAATCTATAGCCTTTGCCAATTCAAGTTTCAGGTCTCTGGCTGCTCATGGCAACCTTCCGTAAGAGTTCAACACTAACCCCGCGGCAACCTTTATACATCAAACACATGACCGCCGATTATAGCTTATACATGACTTTATAGCTGGGGCTTAGCAAACGTGAAAAAGAGTGCAAGGCCCTTTCATCAAATGTCAATGAAGAGTGCAATGCCCTTTCTCAACGTTTACGTCAACACCATATTAATTTTCAGAAAAGATTACTGTTAAATTAAAGTTAAATTTTATCCAATCATCGATATGGAGTAGTAAAACTCCAGGTTTGGTTAAATCAAGAATAGTTATCCTCATTCTCGTACAATCACATCAAAACCTCTATCTAGCAAGTAATAATTGAAATACTACGTTGTTCTGCTTTCACAAGGCGTTCTACAATGGAATCTCAGACTTGATATAGATCGGTAGTATTTCGAAGTAGAACCCGTTACAGTCTGTAGTAGTTATAACTAGAACGCATTATAATCAGTAGTTTTTCAAAGATTATCGCCTTATAATTCTATTTCGATGAAATACTATATAATCGATAGAATTTCAACGTATTATAATCAGTATCGCAAAGTACAGCGCATTATAATCTGCAGTATTTCAAAGTACAACAAATTATATTCAGCAGTATTTCAAAGAAGAAAGTTATAATTACCGGTAGTTGAAACAGAATATATATTTGTCAGTATTTCAAAGTAGAATATTTTATAATCAGTATTATTTAAAATAACAGCGTTTAATAATCAGCAATATTTCAAAGAACAACACATTATAATCGGTAGTAGTTTAAAGTACAATGCTTTTAACTGGCACTATTCAAAGTACAACTCTTCACAATTAGAATAAGTTAAAACTAGAACGCATTATAATCAGTAATATTTCAAGACACGTTATATTTGGCAGTTGTTCAAAGTAGAACGCATTATAATTAGCAGTATTTCAAAGTGTGTGTGTATGTGTGTGTGTGTGTGTGTGTGTGTAGGATTTTTAACGTAGCTTTAAAAAATTTCAGTTATATTGCTACTATGTCTCCAATGTGACAGGTCTAGCAATGGGGAATTATGCCGCAGACATGTAGCATCATGTCTCACCCTGTCATATTATCCTGACACAACGTCGACTAGTCCTGACAATAACCTCTTAATGTTGAGGGTCAAGCGAGGCAGCTGTTTGTACCACATAAAAATGTCTTTGATATGACTCGGTCGGGGTTTGAATCCGCGACCTTCCGCATCAGAGGCGGGCGCTCTAACCACTAGACCACGAGAGCGGTATTTCAATATCGAACGCTTTAGAATTAGTAGTAATTGAAAATGCAACGATTTATAATTAGAATCAAGAATAACATTATAGAAGAATCATATGCGTATGTGCAAGTTCTATTCGATATATGACGTGTTGTAACGTGCATGCATGTTTGTAGTATATTGTTCGTACATGTATCTGTTGTCCACTATAGTTACACCTGTTAATTTATATTATTAAGTCTTTGTTAGTACGCGTGCGAGCATGCTTGAGTGCATATAAGTGACTTTTTCTTAATTTGTTTAATAACAACCTGTTTCAAAAGTTAAGGACCACATGGCAGCTGGATCTTTCATGACCAAATGTTATCCTGGTTAAGGCTGCAGTTGTTGCAGTTATAATTATTATTATTATTATTATTATTATTATTATTATTATTATTATTATTATTATTATTATTATTATTATTATTATTATTATCACTTTCAATATCATCTCTTGCAATGCAACATATAAACCGAAGCAATTGTGTGATTTAACAGACAATATGTGATGTGATCCTGATATATTCGATAACAAGACTGTATCGATTCCAAGAAGACAACATTCTCAGTCAAACTTTGAAAGCAAACTGGGCTCGTCATCGAATCATCTTATTTAATTTCAATCCAAATTCACCACTTTTTCTAACACGATGTAAAGAAATTTCGAAAACCTGAGTTGCTGTAAGCATTCTTATTTTCGCATTTATGTTGTTTTCACTTATTTCTGCGCTAAAATCTTATGTACAAATCTTTCTAAGTTTTAAATTTAACATGATTACAAATGTTGACACATCAAATGTGGCTTTGGGGATCAATAAATTCTGATAACGCTAAATGGCTCAAAAGATATGGCTTGAGAAATCTGTACGGTCTGTTGGTACAGTTAGAGTTTTTATAATTCTATCATAGTCAAACTGTTGTCGACTGTTGACCTTATCTTGAATCTTGAAGATATACTTAACACTCAGTACCAGTACCGGAGTAAAATGAATGAGAGGAAACTTTTAACCTTTTTGGACGACGGCTGATAAGACCGTGTTTGCAAAGGGAAAAATTTATGTTGAAGGTCATATTCAACCAAAACCTATCGTTATGGGTTCAACTCCAATTTGCCAAAAGCTCGGGGTCGGGGTCGAAAGCATGTCATGGATATAGCCCTTTAATACAGGTTGTAAAATCTCTGACATCTGATCTAACAGTATCTAAAGGAGGCACAACTAAGTGTTGCCGAAATTCTATACCAATTCAAATTTCACACGTTGCCAGACATAAATTATTGTTACCTATTGTATTTCTGTGTACTTTAATGACGGTAGGAAGCCATTCCTGTTGTATATTTACATGCAAAAGAGAACTTTGCATTACAATGAGGCCGAATTTTTACTTTGCATACACTGGTTAGTTTCAGGTAGTTAATCACCGACTTACCAATAAATTAAACCACTTAATTTAAATAAGATTTATAAAAGTGCACCCTTCCGAAATGGTATTATTATATGAATTATGACATTTTGGCAGGTTGAATATGTTGATTCAGATATAGAAATTTCGAGTGAATGGATGAAGCTTCAGACATTTCAAGTATGATGGAGGCTTTCTTTTTTGTTCACGAGATCAATAGGCATTACTTACATATCAGCACACAAGAAGTTCCATAAAGTTTCTATTAGAACCACATCGATATAAAAGTGTCCCCATAAAGTTTTAATTAGAACCACATCGATAGAAAAGGGTTCCAATAAGGTTTTAATTAGAACCACATCGATATAAAAGGGTTCCCATAAGGTTTTAATTAGAACCACATTGATATAAAAGGGTTCCCATAAGGTTTTAATTAGAACCACATCGATAGAAAAGGGTTCCCATAAAGTTTTAATTAGAACCACATCGATATAAAAGAGTTTCCATAAGGTTTTAATTAGAACCACATTGATATAAAAGGGTTTCCATAAGGTTTTAATTAGAACCACATCGATATAAAAGGGTGCCCATAAGGTTTTAATTAGAACCACATCGATATAAAAGGGTTCCCATAAGGTTTTAATTAGAACCACATCGATATAAAAGGGTTCCCATAAAGTTTTAATTAGAACCATATCGATATAAAATGGTTCCCATAAAGTTTTAATTAGAACCACATCCATATAAAAGGGTGCCCATAAAGATTTAATTAGAACAACATTGATATAAAAGGGTTCCCGTAAGGTTTTAATTAGAACCACATCGATATAAAAGGGTTCCCATAAGGTTTTAATTAGAACCACATCGTTATAAAAGGGTTCCCATAAGGTTTTAATTAGTTACAGGTAAGCACACACTATGTGCCATAAGGTTTTATTAAAGGGTCCAGGTCGTTTCTTAACATGAAAGTTTCGTAACCGGCATATTTCGTACCCGATATTTCTACACATGCTATTGTGTTTTAGGTAACATTAGTTGCACGTAACATGAAAGAATTGCGGATGCTTATGATTATATATCTATATTGTTAGATATTACAGAATTAAATAATTCCAGATGTGGAAGTGTTATGTATAATTTGTAGTATGTTTTGGCTTCTCTTAATAACTATACGTTATGTATATCTGTATATTATATGGCCTTGGCCAAAATCATGTTCTTGGTGAACATGACAAGAAACATTTATTTTGTAAACAACAGAAGTAGTTATATCGGGCACTTTATGGTCATATTTGTGACCCCCCAAAAATACGGGGTCAAACGGAAAATCAGCATAGAAGGACATTTGGGGCTCAAAATTGTTTATGGGGTCAGGTCGAAAGGGTAATGGTAAATGATTTAAGTTTGAATGGTGACATAGACATATACGAAAACACTAATTCAACACAAAGACAAAAACCGGCAAGAGACAAAAAGATAATCCTTTTCAAGGCACGGGAACGGTCTTGGGGATTTCTTTATCTATTGACTTCATTTCTGTCTTTAGATTCTGAAACTTCCATTCTGGATGCTCCATCCTCTTGAACTTGCCCTGGACCTTTATCCAGTTCTCATTCAAGCATTCCAAATTCTGTTGTTTACTCCCATTCTCTTTTTCCTTTCTTTCTTTATTCCACATTGTCTTCATATTCTCCTTTTCGTTTTTCATCACTTCATCTTTGATGAGCTCTTTTGCTTTTTTAAGCCCTTACTTGCCAAATGTCTACCAGAATGTCTACTGCTTGTAACTTGTCAGCCATCATATTCTCTTGGTACATTGACGATGAATGGTACTGCTGCCTTTACATATGACTCAGCGTGAAGGAAAGCATCACTTCACACAAAATAAATATCACATACAAACCGTTGACATCCAAATGATATGGTATTTCCTAAAAGAAACTCCGTCCACTTTTTTACGTACATACACACAATTACAAACAATCATAATATACTCCATGCCAACAAGTATTGGCAAAGGAAAAACATTTTGAAAGGCAAAGACAAACATATACATACACAAAACATACCAGACACATACTATTATACAAGAAAGGTTATTAGGTATTTATAGACACACCACTAAAGCTTTTGCTACAAACACGTTGGAAAAGGGAAAGAGATTTTTTGTTGGGAAGAATAAGACAAATATAAAAAGGCACTAATACCAGCTTACAAACACAAATACTTTAATGGCTAATCGAGAAGTATCTCTATTATCGAGATCTGTTGGCTTTAAAAGGGGCCGTTTTCTTTTTCCAGTGCACCTAGTAATGGGGGCACCTCCCAGGCCCAGCACCGCACACACAGTTACGACTCTAGTCATTCTCACAAGAAATAGTAAAACTCCGAAGTGTATGGGAAGGGGGGATCGAGTGGCTTTTAGAATCACATTCGTTTGTTTCAGGAATTCTAAAAAATTGATTCTGTTGGACGTATGTGCTCGGCTTGCATATGCTGATGTTGTCTTTGGGGTTCCCTCTCGATGATGATGCTCCAAGTCTCAGTCTACTGTCTAAATTTTGATAAGGGGTTGTTTCGGCTGGTACGTCACCAGTGGTTTCAGAGGACAAATGGGACATAACAAAAGAATTATGTACTCTTCCTTCTTTTTGCTTACTTCCTCTAGGACAGTTTCTTTTGCCAAAGTTTTCATGGCTAGCTCGTTCGTTATCCAGGTGCATTTGGAAATCTATGATCTCCTGAAACAATTCGGCATTCCAGTTAGGTAAATAATCTTAGTCAAAGGTACGTTTGGTTTTTCTACTGCACATCCAGTCTCCTATCGTTATCAGTCATCGTTTCTTGAGGGCAGTATGGGACGTTCCACACAATCACTAAAACACGGCTACTTTGTTATCGAACGTCACTTTTTCGGGGGCGCACCCTACGCTTCAATGCTAGTATCATTGATAGCAAACTTTGATCAGACGTCGTAAGACGTCGATGTACTCGAGAGTGTGTTGATAGGTAATATATTTCCTCATGTGTTCTTTTAACGTGCGTTGAAACGCACACCATGCTTTAGTTTCAGGATTCTCGTTGGTGGGTAAATGTATGTATATTTTCTCCAATTCTTAGTTCAGAAATTCGGTGCCTTTGTTTTTTAGCTATTGGAGAGGGTGAAGACAGTTTTGTTTCAACACCAGTTTTAACGCTGACACTAACACTGAGATCGTTTTAGAAGTCAAATGTATGGAAAAGACGTCGATAACACAAACAAATATTTGTAGCCTCGATTGTATATGACCAAATGAGAGACATTGGCTAAATCGTCTTGCCATTGATAACCAATACACTCCACTTCGGTTTGGCATCTATAAGCTTTCGTCGCCAGGTTACGAAATGTATTTTTTTCACTTTATGATTAAAATCATGTTAAGCGGGTAATGATTTCATCTCCCAGCTGTTGTTATGCTTTAATTAATTTCTCGCGTTGATGACATTGACGGTCTATCAGTTCTTCTATTATTAATGTGATCGCTTTGTATAATTGTTCAATAACTGGCCTTGACTAGGTGCAACACTTCTAACCAGTTACTCTTTTCAAAGCATACTTGTCTTACAATTATAAAAAATAAAAAAATAACTGTTGCAAGATATATTTTTAAACTTCCTGTGATTGTGCTTTTTGGTGGATGGCTGCGACGTTAATATAGAAACGTGTATAAACTTTGCCTTTGTTAGCCTATATGAGCTCAAATGATCTGTCATTAACAAATGCTCATACTGTCGTTAGCAGTGTCAAATCCAATAACTCTAAACGTTTAGATCTGAGATGGTGCACAACCATTTTCGGCCAAGGGCCACATTCATTTTCTAAGACCACTAGATGGCTGCAAACACTAAATTCTTTAATATAATTACTGTTCACGGGTCAGATTTCTGAGTTATTTGCCCTGAGGGTCGGACAGAACACGTTCGCGGGCTGGGTTCGGCCTGTGGGCCACGGGCTGTGCATCCATATTTTAGATTGTTTTATATATCTAAGCTATAGCTATGTTCTTGTGGAAGGGGAATAATAAAATCTCACCCACTGGGACACCGTTATATTAATACTGAAAGCATTTCTAATTGTGAGGTTCCTCGCTATATTCATCAGTGGTAGCTTACTTGTGTCTTATTTGCATACGTCTCTCTTGTACAAGCGAATCGACAAATTTCACCGATTTCATGTTTATTGCAAAATAGCACATTATGACTTTATTATATTCTACGTCAACTTTACGTTGCATGGCTTCCAAGATAATCCTAAATCAAATGATCCGGTTAGGTATTTTGAACAAGAAAACATATTTGAGCACATTTGACAAATCAGAATGACGCATTTATGCGAAATAGTGATTTAATCTTTTTGTATTTCCACATTGATGCTACATACCGCAGTAATTGTTTATTATAAAAGAAAATATATCCGCTGCTATCCTAACTCTGAGTATCTTTCAACGCTGGCGAGTATCGATACTGACAAGAGATACCGGTACACCAGATTTAAACATTTGTTGATTAAGTCAATTATCTCTATGAGAATTGAACGGCCAGCGAAAACAGAATTTAATTTATTTTTATACGAGAGGAACTCGAACTGTATTAAGAAATAACTGAGTTGGTACTAGTTGTACTTTATGCAATTTCTGTAATTAAGCAACTACTGATATGGCTACTAGCAATGCTGTTCTGTATACGAATATTCATAGGTTTAAACTAACTTCAGGTTCAAATATTGTATTTTCAATATGTTTAAACTGATGCAAATTTCATGTTATTGTTGTAAAATGTGGTCTTGGATCTTGCGGCGGTCCTTATGGAATGTGTACACAGTAGTATAACAATAATTTGTCGAATACTATTGAAGTTTTCTACACCACCACCTCCCACCCTACACAGTTACATTCATCTTTAAGGAGCACCCGTGGGTAACTCTTACACATAGGCTTGTACGCTTGATATCAGGACAAAGGCACGATGTACTGTCAAAGCTTTTTGCCTACATCAGCAAAAAATATATAACTGCTATTATTATACTAATGGATATAATGATAAAATATCACTTGACATTAAAATCTGCAGGTAAAAAAAGGTATTCACTGATTCTTTTATACCAGACTTACGATAAACTGATTAGTATATGTGGAATTTACCAAATGTCTGTAGATGTTGAATTTCATACAGTAACAATTCTAAAGGTCTCCATTGCGTTAGTATGATTTTGTCAGGTGCCAATAATAACCCGGTATTTTCACATCACACGTGGACTATGACTAAGTAAACCGAGACAAATAAATTTATTTGACTATACTAGGATTTTAGCTGCAAAATTGTTTCTTTTAGACTGACAGTCTAATGACGCACATATAAAGCTGGACTTTAATCTATGTTGATTGTCTTAACATGTGTCAGCATTTACATACATCACATGACCATTATGCATGACATATTATCTCGTGTCTCATTATTAATATAAAACTGAGTCATATTATTGGCAGAAGCATAATCAGGTACTTTTGTATCTTTATGCAATTAGTCTTTCTTCCTATCTGTTGTATAATATCCGTGTTTACTTTCATTGTTTACCTTATATCAGTTTTATGATTGTAATCAAGTTATGCATTATACTTAATTATTATTATTAATGATTAAACATCATGAAATGTTTTACTGAAGGGCATAAAGATGATGATAATCATGGTGCATTTTGAGGCATAAGGCACGGATATGTGTTTATTATTATTAATATTTAAAAACGGACAACGACGTCTCTTAAATTTAAACACCGTTGCTAAATAGGTACTCGTTCTCTATGTAGGTGATTTATACCCCCTCCTCTCTCTCTCTCTCTCTCTCTCTCTCTCTCTCTCTCTCTCTCTCTCTCTCTCTCTCTCTCTGTGTAAAAATTTAAATTTTCAATGTAGTTTTAATTTTTTTCTCAGTTCTACCGCTTCGATGTTTGCAGGCTGGCACTTTATAGTGATTTCTAGCACTGTGGCATTATGCCGCAGACATGTAGCATGATGTCCCACCCAGTCACATTATCCTGACAACAGATCGATAGGTCCTAACACTAAGAGCCAAGCGAGGCAGCTGTTAGTACCATTTTTATGTCTTTGGTACGACTCGGCCGGTGTTCGAACCAGCGACCTTCCGCATCAGAGGCAGACGCTCTAACCACTAAGCCATCGGATCGGTTTTATAAACTGTTTGTTAGATTCATGAGGAATACAAAATGACTTCTACAGTCATACCGTCAGGTAACTAAGCAGGCTTGGGTTGTTTTCACAAAAATATTGGAGAGTAACCATCTGAAAAAAAAGCTTAATGACATTCAGTTTAGTTCTTTTTATTTCAAAATAAAAATATATTTAAGATGGTTGATAAAGACAATATTCATAAAATGTCGTATCAGACTATTTATTACCTTATTCTAGGAATGCCACGAAACGTTATCCTTTACAATTAAGTATACACACCTGGTAGGAAAATGTATTTGAGCCGTGATGGTCATTTTGAAACTTAATGAGATTCTGTCTCCTAAATGCGGCAGACATTTCTCTGGAACCAACATAAACACTTTGTGTTCAACCTTACATATATATGTATATTGTATCACAGGCGCTCGTATCACTGCTAATTCTCGACATGATTGCGCTCGCCTAATACGGAAGAACAACACACTGAATGGAATACTCTCTTCTCATTGGCCAACTGAAAAAGGTAAAAAAACCAATGGGAGGACAGTATTCCACTCAGTGGGATTTCACTTGCATTTTAATCGAGCGCGATCATGGCAAGGTCAATCAGTAGCGGGGGAAATTTTGGCATTCCTTAAAAGTATGATAGTAAGCCAAACTTCATAACATATACAAAGTCCATTGCCTGAGATAAACATAGGTACCAAATTTTTTACGTTACGAGAAATGTAGCTTGAAATATCTGTTTATTCTTAAATAGGTCGCGTAAGAAATGAGAGAAGTGTCTTCCCTTGTAGTTATTATATAGCACATGTATGACAGATAAATCTGTAAGCAATGATACGAGCCCCTGTGGATTGTATATCCTCAATGAAATGCGTAGTCAGTGATATTGAGCCTGTTGGCAATAAAACAAATGGGTGTATGGAAATCGTCTTTGTCTATCTAAGGAATCGGCTAAAGCATCCGCGGTTGAAGTCCAGGTCAAGTTGGACATTTTTGTTCTCCAATGACACATAATACCCACGGTAGGTTCATATTTAGACCAACACGTACGACCATTGAAGAAAGAGCTTGCATGTGGTTTACAAGGTGAAATAAAGAATTTAAGCAGGTCGGGTGCTTCAGGTAGTCCGACCACCTGTGTAATGTTAGTAAGGTTAAGAATTACAGCCCCATTCGCACAGTTGTCTGTCTTTACCATGTTCTCCTAAGTGTTATCATATTTTGATATGCATTGTTTTTTTCAAAGATGGTGATTTCTGATATATCTGCCAGTGGTTTCACGAGGAGTGATCACGAAAACATAATACAACCTGGTGAAATATTTCTAGATACATTAACTCTTTGTTGATACGATGGTGAGAGGGATTTTACAACTTTCGTATTACCTGATGTTATGGATCAATCTTCTGCTAGAAGCACAGGTTGGCTGCTTTACATGCTATAGTGGAAAAACAAAACAAAAACAAAAAAAAAAAAAAACAAAAACAAAAACAAAAACAAAAACCAAACAAAAAAAGCTAATTATACAGGAACATTCTATTAACATCTTTATCAGATATCACGGATTTAGGTACTTATTTTTCTGAGGTGGAGACGGGGGATGTAGGCGTAAGACTTTTGGAAAACTGATTACAGCCGTCAAATAGTATGAAAAAATATATTGTTGCTTTGGTTTATGGAAACATAACTCGATGTATTTACTGTATTTGTTGAAAATTAAATTATTTAATTAAAACAAGTAAGATATCCCGGCTCGAACGAAATCCCAATCTCTCCTCCCCCCATTAAAAAAATCGGTTTTTAAGTTCCATTTCATGAGAAGACAGTAACACAACCAATCTTGGCCTTCGTTGTCAATTATTGTCTTTCATCTAACAGCATATTTGCCAAATGCTATCGAAATAATCAGGCCGTGCAACGTGTATAGAGATAAGACGAGTAGGAATCAAAGAACCGAATGACTGAGATCAGGCTTGATATGTCATATTTTGAGTAAGAAGTAGCGTGATATTTTATTGGGGGGGGGTCTTCGTATAAAAATCGAATTTTCCATTGTTTAGAGATGCAAAGATTTAGAGACGACAAATAGCGAATGCAATCAGAACACAAAACAAAGAAAAGACTATTTAAATTTCTGGTGGGGATTCTGAAATGCTCTTTCTAATTGTTTTGCATACAAATTTAAAGAACGTACAATACCATTTATGTGGGAATAAATGCAAAACAGTCTACAAATGGGTGAAAACCTAAACGGCATCTTATACACATTTAGAGGGACATTATTGTTGATAATGAAAATTATTTTTTGAGAGGTTATCATATTTTTAAACTGAAATTTGAAACAATATTTAATTGTTATAATTTCAGTCTTTTCACAGAATTGACTTTGGAACACACGGTACAAAATTAGTACCTCCGAGCGGAATTTCAGCAATATGTTGATCCCAAAAATTCCACTCTTCATAGAGTTTTCTCAAAGGAGATGATTGCTGCAATGAGCAGTCTAGAATATAATTACATTTGATCAAGATTATTTATAAGTTTTAAGTTTTTGATTTTTTGTGTTTGAAACGATGGTGTTTCAAAAGGTTTACTATCTGCCTTGAATTATAGTACCTAAAGTGTATAGTTCAAAATGGCGTCCTTATTCATATTTTCGGTTTGGTAACCAGACCATCATTTCTTTTATATCATATTCTCGGTGGGCTTTTTATCCAGTTTTCAATGGAGTAAACTGAAGTTGAATAAATGACGGGTTGCAGACTTACTTCATTCGAAGTAAAGTTGGTGGTAATCGACCAAAAGATATGTTTTATTTGATATCTAGGGTAATTCGGTATATATAAGTATCATAGCTGCTAATGATTCTGAGGTCACAAAAAGTGCGCCGGCTGACAAATGACCTGTCAATGTTGTTGCAGATGTTTATGAAACGCAGCGATCCTGAATGGACACTGAAGATACCGTAAATACGCAGTAAAAGTTCCAACATCGTATATATCAAATAACAGAGTCGTATCTAAAGTCATTAAACAACATACATAGGTTTTCTTTCATTGCTGCGTATGTGTCGGCAAAAACGGTTCCTCGATTTTTTTCGGCAGATATTATCTTGTTAACATACATACGTTAAGTAACAAAACTCTGAGTAAACAATCCAAGGTTTTACTGAGGGCAAGGTTACAGGCACATTATGTAATGGTCCTATCTACAAAGGGACAAGTATAAATAGTATATTGAAGATGTATTATTCTGTACTCAAGACCTATATCTACTATTTTGTACCCAAGATCTATAAGTACTATTTTTTACCCAAGACCTATATATACTATTTTGTACCCAAGACTTGTATGTACTATTTTATACCCAAGACCTATATGTACTATTTTGTACTCAAGACCTGTATGTATTATTTTTGTACTCAAGACCTGTATGTATTATTTTGTACTCAAAAACCTGATTTACAAGGCACTCATGTTGTGCATGTTTTTATTTAACTCTGTACTCAGAACCTATATTTTTTAAATTTGTACTTATGGTCTGTATATTTTATTTTGTACTTAAGAACTATATGTATTATTCTGTACTCAGAACCTACGTGTTTTGCTTTTGTAACTCAAGATCTGAATGTATTACTATCTATTTCAGACCTATATCTATTACTATGCGCTCATAGCCAATCCTGTCTGTATTCAGTATCTGAATGTTTTATTTTCGTACTTAAGACGTGTATATATTACTTGTACTCAAGATCAATATGTTTCGTCTGAATCTGGAATAAGAATAATGCGAGAACAGTTCCTGTAGGTGCAATGTAATATGATTTCTTTACTTCGAAATATCCGGTAAATGGAATGAAATATGTTTTATTTTATTCGTTGCATAATGAACTATGACTGTTTGTTCGATTCTGCATTGAAAAGTATAGATTTAAAAAATTCTTTCACAATCTCGCATGATATACAAGTAATTTTTAGATCAACATAAATCATTTTCCCAATCGTCTATATATATTATTACTGGAAAATATGCCGTCCTCAAAAGTCAAAATAAAAAAGCGGAGCAAAATTACCAATGAATTTAGAGGATGAGAGATTTTAGGTTAGGTGATGGGTAGAATCGGAGTCATGCATCAAGGGAGTCCTGAGGTTTACGACAGAAATGGCTTGAATTCTTCGGTTGCACTTCATCATTTTTGACTATCGGTGTCATCATGGTGGCTTTGGAAGTCGGAAAAGTCTATCATATGATGCTGAGTGCGGAAGCAATTGTTTCCAAGGTTTTCAAGAAGACACACGTTGATCTTTCAATTTGCCGTTTACACGAAATTTGCTTGGCTGAATATGAATGTGATAAATTTATATTATTATAAGACAATTGTAAATTATCAAAAATTTAAAAATTAAATTCCACCTTGCTTGGTCAGTTGATATTCGTCATTTTGAGGTGTCAAGAAAATTAAGCTACATCGACAGTTTAGTAATATTTAGTTCAGTTAGGAAAGCTTTACCTCACGATATCACATGCTTGTGTTTTTCACAATCTGATTCTGGCATAGCAATTAACTGAATGGTGTAACACTAATGAGCACTAAAATATACCATATTACTTATACAGCAACCAGGGCATACCCCCCCCCTTTGAGTAAATAAAATCAGTTTCCAGCATAAAGGAGATTTGATAAACACCGAAATAACGCTTAGCTTTGGAATACAGTGACTGCCTAACTTTCTAAACTTTGGAATTCAGGGCTACCTATTTTTTAAACTTTGGAACTCAGGGCTACCTAAGTTTATTAGCTTATGAGATATATCATTGCCTCGTTGTGTTTGGAGAGTTATCATTAGCAAATACATGTTCCGGTTACATTTTGTCACTTTCAGCACTACGAAAGCTAACTGGAGATTAACAGACCATGACATTAGTGCCTATAAAATATACTTATAAATAAACTTACATTTTTTGTATCTTTTATGTTGAAAAAATGAA